AGGATTGGAAGATGAGATGTACAGCACTGTGAATTGCCACCCTAGAATGCTTGACAACAGCTCAATTTTATAAGTTGAACATCCATTTTGTTTATGCTTAAAGACCTCAGGGATGCAAAAAAACCTCAAACTAAGAGTTTTTTTACTTTAAGAACTGAAATTGTTCTGGTGGTAATGATAATCAGGGATTACTATTATTTGGACAGAAAAGGGCGTGATGGTCTCTTAAGGATTTTTCTAAAATGCAAAATTCCTGTTTGACTCACCAACTTTTTTGTCCTCTTCTGACAGTGAAATACACCTTATTTCTTTTCACTGAAGCATCTGTTTGTTCTAGTTGCCTGTTAGCAAGTAAGAAAACAAAACCCATTTACTATCCTAGGGCTTGGGTTAGAATGTAGGAAAACAGCAGACAAAGCATTCAGCAGTCCCACTGGTTTTAGAGAAAGCTGCATTAATGACAAACTTTCTGTTACCAATAAGCCCCTAATGTAAGAAATACTGGTAGGAGTTTGAGGTATTGTGGAATAGTGGATTGGGTACATAACGAAAAGCTGTGGGCTCACTTTTAAACTGCAAAACTCTTCTTTTGGTGTTTTTGTGAATCTTTCCTAAAGTAACTTCAGCTGCACTGAGACTCCCTACCCAAACTTATTCTGGCAGAAGTTCCAATAAAACCACAGTGTCTGGAAACATGTTCGTTAACTCTTCACTAAATCAACTCTAGTGCACTCTTCTGAATCTCTGTTCTCCAGAATAAAACATTATTACAGCCAGTTGCTTCATTTCTTCCTGCTGGAGAACCTGAGGCAGGAAGATGGGATTTCACTCCTACTATGGATTCCAGCTCTAGCCAGGTATATTTACTGCAACTTTTTATCCTCAGGAAGTGGTGGTAGCTCTGCAGGTATAGCAGGAGGGTGATGTGCCAAACCTGATGGACACAGCAGGTCAGGCTCATTTTCTTCTGTCTTCTGGCAGTTATTGGAGGAACCCCAGTAGGATTTCAGAAAGTCCTAACCAGCATGCTTTTTCCTAATAACAAGGGCAACATCAAAAATGCTGCAGTTAACTTAGTCTTTGAATTAGTTTGCTCAATTTAATTTCTGTTCTGCTATGTACCTGGCTGATCTGTCCCAAAAAGAAATTCAACCATACCTGTCCTTTAGGAGAGGATGTTGATCTGATGAGGATTCAGTTGTCTTGGACTGTATTATGCTCCCATATTGGGGGTGTGCCTTTTTTTTCCCTTCTGTCCTAGAGACATGTCACATAGCCTTACACAGCCACAGTTGCTGCCCAGTGATAAAACCTTTTTTCCAAACTTGAAGGAGTCAGTAACTGCAGTGTGGTGTAGCAGGCAGGAGTATATAAATTGCCAGTATTATGGCTGGGGAAATTTGTCCCTCTCTCTTGCATCCAGGTTTCTTATGTGACACACCTTAACGTGAAATTAAACTTCCTTTGTTCTGATAGATTCATAGCAACTAATCCTCAACTTTTACAAAATAGGCAGGGCAAATCTTACAAAGGTCAAAAGGCATTTCTGGCAGCAAACTGTTACTCCCTCATTTGCTAATGGATCTATCTCTGACAATACCTTACAAGTTGCAGGCAATTAATACTGTTCATATTAGCCTCAGTTCAGCCTTGGCAGAGTATGTCATGGAGAGGGAGTGAGTTGAGGTGTCAAGTTGCCCAAGATTTTATCACGGAAAATGATGGCATCTCACATTTAAAGACTGCAGAGTATGTTACATCCATCAGTTAACATAGGCGTGGATATGGAAGATGTCTCGGCAGGAGCTTTCTTTGCTCATAAATCAAGAGCCCTCTCAGTCATTGCCTAAACTCACTACAACATTTCACATCAGCCAGCAGTGGGTCAGAGAAGCACACCTTGCCCTAATAGGGAAGGCCTGAACCCTAGAACCTCTCCTCCAACCATACCCTAAAATCAAAGGTGGTATTTCCATTGCTGTCGCTCCATGACTTAACAACTTCATGTTTCGTGTGTGCAGCAAAATTGTTTCAAGGGGAGGATCAGAGAGCAATTTCCTCCATTACCTGTGGACTTGTGCCCAGCCTGCTCTTAAGAGTTTGAGCCTCCCCCTGCTACCTAAAGCTAAGAAGGACTGAGGAACCAAGTCCTAGTTTCTAATTAAAAATCTGTCGCTTTTTCATTAAAAATCTAATTAGCAGAGAGGACTCTGCACCTGACCCTGGCAGACACAGCCCGGCTGGACCCACCTGCAAGGGGCCGAGCCTCCTCCTGGGCCTCAGGGGCTGGTCTGCAGCAGCTGCTGAGCTCCTGCTGATGGAGGCCCCAGGTAAGCCCAGGTAAGCACCTGGGATGCCACGAGCTCCGTTTTACCTCACGTGAACGATGCCGAAAAGGCCATTTTCCAGAGACATCCAGACCTTGTGCTGGTGAGAGCTGGGGAGTGATGTGGCTGCCTCACACACCTGTGCTGTGGTGAGACAGCACCTTGGCAGCAGCTCGGGAAGGGTTTACCCCTGAGAGTGGCAATTACCACTCCAGCAGGTTAATTACCCCTCCAGAGACAAATAAGAGCAGCTGTGAGGAGAGAGCTAAGGCAAGTAGGACAGGCTGCATGGGACTAGAAGTAAAAGGTTAGTGAATTAGCTTTAGGTCGTTGATTTTTTAAAAAAAATGTTCTTTTTTATTGTTGTGAGAGGGTAGTTACTGCTTCTGGAGGCAAAAGGCTGTGGCAGGGGGCTCCCTGTGGCTGGGATGGGCTGCAGGCCTGGGAAGGCCTCTCGGGGAGGTGGGTTGGGGCCGGGGTGTTGCTGTTGGTGAGGAGGGAGGCTGGGGGGCCTGGCCTTGCTCCCTGGGCTTGTGGGACCAAAAGGAAGACCTCACATTCCTTCTTCTTCTCTCTGCTCCCTTTGTGGGGTAGTGGAATGGCCCCTTAGCCATGCTGCACTGTGTGCAGAGATTAGCTGCTCATGTTGGCTCAAATCTCATCTTGCTGCAAGCATTACTTTGGAGTGAATCATCTACCCCATGATTTAGGGGTTGGTGTTTTGGGTTTTTTTATGAGTTACTTTCCTGTGAAACAGGATGCAGATGTACCCTTGTTTCTCTCGGCCACCACCTATTCCTGGTTGGCCTGGTAACTCGCTCAGCTGTTTGTCCCGTTTGTGGGGTTTAAGAGTCTCCAAATCCCACTGCTCTCGTGCAGAGGCTGTGCATGCTGTGGCACAGCTGGTGCTCTAGTCTGCAGGCTGTGCCCTCTGAAAAGCCCACAGCCTTGTTTATAAACTTCTGAGGTGCTTTTCTTAAGTCTGGGACTTACACTTGGTGGAAAGCTGGGATCCTGAAGCAGCAATGGGAGATGGTCACCCACTTCTTAATAATAAAATCTTCAAGATTATTTTTTTTTTAGCCTGTAAAGTTGACTTTATGTCTAAAAAGAAAAAAGCTTAAAGAGCAGAGATTCAGGTTGGACATTAGGAAAAAGTTATTTCCTGTGAAGGTGATGAGATGCTGGAACAAGTTGCCCAACGAGGCTCTGGATGTCCCCTCCCTGGAGGTCTTCAAGACTAGGTTGGATGGTGCCTTGAGCAACCTGATCTAATGGGAGATGTCCCTGCCCAAGCAGAGGGGTTGCAACTAGATGATTTTTAAGGTCCCTTCCAACTGTAGCTGTTATTCTATGATTCTAAAATTAAGGCAACCTACATATTTTCTTTCTGTATTAGTGGTGAACCTTTTGCAATTATACAGAGCATTGAAATTGCTACCAATAGCTCCTGATGGGTTTGGTTTGAATTCTGATCCGTCTCAGATATTAATTTGCACTGTGTGATTAAGATTCTAGAGCAGTTGTTGCTCTTGCTAATGCTGAGAAACTTAGTGTTTGGCAGCTCATTTGAATGCATATCACTTCCCCATGTCCCATGTTTCTGCTCATCTCTGGTGTAGCTGCCACCCATGGAGGGGCAGAGTAGAAAGTGGTGGCAGCTGGCTTTGCTGGGTGAGCAAGCAAGGGTAAAACACCTGTCATGAGAGCTGAGAAGACTTTTGACCCTACTGAAAATGGAGAAAGGATACTGCTAAGTAACCCTGGCAACTGTAGGAAGACAAGTCAAAAAGGACTTGACTGTTGTGATAATGGGGAGTGGCAAGAGAGGTGGAGCTGGAAATGCAGAGAGGAAGGGGGGAAATTAATCTGTAATCTTTAGTCCATCTGCCTGGTATTACTTTCTGAGTTGCAACATAAACAATCCAGAGAAAGGAGGTTCTTGAAACATCAGTTCACCTCTTCCAAACAGGAAAAGTTTTTTTGTAATTGAAGGGCATACTCCTTTGCAACTTCATCCTGTATTCAAGTTCATTGAATCAAAATTCAGTTCTGCCATTACCTGAGCAGTTAATAAAATCTATTGCCTTATGATGGATTTTTTCTGCAGGCTAGAATTGATCTGTCTTTGTTATGATTTGTGAGATTGAGACAAAAACACAAAATATAATCCGTATTTCTGCTGCACTGAAAAAATTCACTGTGTTTTCCTTCTAAGGCTTGGAAGTAACTAAAACTGCAGTGGTCATATTTTTTGATTTATTGAAAATAAAGCATACCTTATTAACATTTTAATAAAGAGAATCTCTTTGCAGCACTGCTCCAAGTGCTCTTATTTCTCTCTGTGCAATTCCATTCTCTAAGAGGGAAAATACTATTGAGTTCTGTGAGGCATGATTTGTTAGACTGAACCTAAACACACCAAAGCAAAATGCTTTCTAAAGGTGCTGTGTTTGTGAGAGTTGCTTGCCCAATATGTGTGATGCAAAATGGGGATGCTTTGTGAAGAAATCATCCTTGTAAAGCCATTGGTTCTGGTCATCAGACTCTATCCAATGCTTTAGTGATGATGCTGCTGATCTATTTGGGAAGTTGGCTGGCTCTCAAGGCAGAGTCTCTTCTCAAAGGCTGTTTCACAGTGAAAATATGCTCAGTGCAGCCGAGTGCATGAATGAAAAAGCCTCTGGTACCTTCTAGTCTGGCAAAATGCAGCACAAAACTCAACTTACTCTGTCCTTTCTGCTGTCCCAGGTAAGAAATGTGTGTTTTTTCATTGCTTTCTTTCATCTTCTTTCTCTTGTGCATTTGGATTTGTAAGTATTTGTAATTCAGCTCTGATTTCTGAGTAATTATACATTGCTTGAATTAGTGTTGAAAGATCTCTGCTGTAAGCCAGTTGCTGGGAACGGGGAATCTCGTAGTTCCTTGATTTACAATTACAACAAATTTGCAGTGTGATATATAGCCTTTTTTGTTTCCCTTCAGGAAGGGTGGTGGGGGGAATCTTTCAACTGTCTCGGTAGCAGCTGCAGCAACGATATTTTCTGTCATATCAAATACTGCAACTTTGATTTGCCTCTTTCCTCTGGCTTTGGCTGTTCTAGTCAGCTCACGTTATTTATTGCTTTAAGGAAAAAAAAAAGAGGAAGGGGGACTATGGAAGGAGAAGAAAATCAAACCTTACAAAAGGTTCCCTTCCCCGTACTCTCTTGATAGATGTGTAATACTCTGTTAGCGACTTGCTATGTAGCCTTTCTCGTGTTAAATGTAATAGATCCCCCTCTGCCAGAAAGCAGAGGAAAAAGCAGCCAGCCTTAAAGCCACGGAGCTGCTGAAGCCCTGCTGCTGCTGCTGTCTGTCAAGGCGAGGGGACTCGCTGGGCTCTGACTTCTCGCTGCCTCTGGCTGCTCTTTTCCTCTTGCTGCTGCTGCTGGGCTCACTTTTTGGATGGTTTCAAAATCCTTTGTCGGTGTCCAGTTTAAATGCATCCTTCCTTCTTTTGTCTTGGGAGATGCTCTGTAAACTCTCGCGTTTAGTGACAATAGCGCTGGCGTCCCGGAGATAAAAGTTAATTCCTTTCTGACTTGCGTTCGGGTGGCTTTGTTAACCCTTCGAGGGTTGGTAGGTTTTTAGAGTGTGAAACTAGAGCTCGGGACGCCGAGTCTGTGCACCCGGGTTTGTGTAACTGCCATCTCCGGTGGGAATCTAGTCTGCTTTTTCAAAATAAAACCATCAGGAGGAAAATGGTGAAGGATCACTGCTGGGAGAGCTCAATTGCTGGGCGAGATACTCCAAGGGTGTGTACGTGGGAAGCAGTAGGGTGAGCTAAATGAGTATATGCTGTGGATCAAGGCTAGGATTCCTGGCTTAACCTGATAAGGAGTAAATGCATGAACGTGGGTGGCTGAAGTTATGGGAGAGCGGGAGACTCGGTGACTGGGAACTCGTGTGAGCAAGGACATAGGCATCTGGGTGGGTTCAGGACAACAATCCTGCTTCTGGCTGTGGAACAAATGAAAGCAGCTGCTTTGGGCCTTGGGTGCGGTACCTGAATGTTCTGGTGAAGGATGAGTTTGAGGAGCCAGTGCAGCATGTGCTGGGGATACAGTTTCTTGTAGGACCTTCCTAACAGCTCGGGGTGAGGATCTGTGGACTGTGTAGGAGGGCTGGGTGGTGAGCAGCTTGGCAGCTCTGCTGAGGCTGCAGAGGGAGGGCAAACTGCTGCTCATGGGGTGGGCTGAATGGCTCTGGTGAGCGGGGGGTGCCCAAAGGGCTCCAGAGGAGAAGTTGTCAAAGTGGGCTGAGATCCAGCATGGGTGGAGAGCTGGGCTGGGAAAGTTGCCAGTGGGAGGCAATGCTCAGGGAGCAAAGGGGCTGGGAGGAGAGGGCACAGACAGTATAAAGGTAACCTGTGGATATACTGGTGCTCCTTCACCTTGGACTTGAGACCTGCCAGCTGGGCTGTGATTCACTTGGCTTTCTGTGTTTTCAGTCCTATTTTTGTCCATCTTCTCTAGCACACTACTGAATTAATCAGCTTGAGTTTGGATTTTCTTTAATGGTCCCTTGTTGGAAAAGCAGTATTTATAAGATAGAGACCTATTAAATCACATAGATGGCATTTTTTTTAAACATCAGTAGCTACTTGTAATCTGACAAGGTGCAGAACACCTGATTCTGGAAACAACTGTGCACTTTATTGATAACTTTCAGCAATACTTCAGAGTTTCTTCTCTTTCTGGGCTGAACTGAGGTTGAGTGTACTGAAGGGCTGAGCTTGTGGTTCTTTAGCACTGATTTGTATTTAGGTGCTTAAACTGAACCCCACCTTCTTTATTAGCTTATGTGGCATCATCTGGCAGTGTCTCTACCCGGTGATTTAACACATCCCCAAGTTTACTTTATAGATCATGTCTAAGAATTAATGAATTAGGGAATGAATTAGACTATAAGAAGTGCACACATCAGTCTTCAGGTATAAGCTTGTTGAGTATTGGCAGGCTAAAGTATGAGTTGGAAAGTGATAGCATGCTGGAGAGGGAAAAAGGAATTACTGACATGCTGTTTGGCTTCTCTTTGACACACTACATGTACAACTTTCATGTGACAGGAAAAGTAAACAGAAGAATGTGAGAAACAACATATTAAACAAATGCAGCCATCTGGCTGTCTAGTGGTTGGAACACATTCTAGGATTTTTTTTCAGAAGTATTCTTTTTTTCTCCCTTAGCAGTGGGAGTAATGCCTCATCTAATACAATGCTCGTGGAAGTAGCAAAGCTCAATTTTGGTAAAATGATTTCTAAGCAATAGCAATCTAGTAATGCAATACTTTATGTGAAAGTAGAGGATGGGTATAACTTCATTTCAGAGTAATCATAGCCAAGTTTACAGTGTAGAAAATTGAGGAAATTCTTGTGTTCATATGAACCTGAACTGAAAAAAGGTTTGTTTTTAATTAAAGACAATTTCCAAAGCTATTAACTTTTGTGTTTTCTTGGATTGCATCTAATTCAACTACATTTGTTAAATAAAATTGCCTTTTGAGGCACTAGAAAGATGAGGATGGGGAACTGCTTTTTCAGCATGTTAAGAATGTTTGTAAAAGTTGTGGTAAACAAGTGGATGATGAATTAATTTTCTTTTGCAAGAATTTGGTCTACACTAACTGTTAGTCTTGTCTTCACCAAGAGGAAATCTGAACGTTATCTAGAATAGCTCAGGAAGATCTGTTTCAAGTAATCCTTTAATTCAGGATTACCTTTAAAACTACAAAGTATGTTTATTATATACAGCTTTATTGATCTGAAGCTGACAATAAAAAATAAGTGTACTCTGGTAGCTTGTGCAGTTCACTGTACAATATACAGTAAGCAGTAAATATGTACAGATTTTTAAATCTGTCCAATCAGAGTGGAGTTTGCCTTTTCTTGCAAAGGATATTTAAGGCCTATATATAAAATATGTTTTAAAGCAGAAGTTGTTCACAGGTTTCCTTTTTTGTTACACATTTCACAGTGTTTTTTACACAACAAAGGATTTGTAAGTTAAACTCACAAGATAAGGGGAAAAAATATTTTAATAACTTAACAATAACTGTCAAGTTCCACTGGCTTGTGACTAAGTAAACTGGAAAAAAGTGTAGATTTAATAAGCACATCATCAAAGTGAATAGAGGAAATTAGTCCTGAAACTTTCCTCAAAAACAGCCCATGCTGTTGCACACTGAAGCTTTTATTTTTTCTAATCTCTCCAGAAGAGGGCTCCATGCACAGCTTGAAAGTCAGCACCTATGTTTTAAGAGATTTATCAGCTTCAAGAAAAAATGAAAGCTCTTGCTCACACTAAGTCTTGTGATATAACATTAGAGATTACACTTAAATTCTGACCATTTCTGCTTTGTAACCTGTTGCTGTAGCTCTTTTATTTAAGACTGCTTGTTATTGGAGAGTTCTAGAGAAAAAGTTGTATATCTCTTTTGCTTTATCCGAGTTGTAAAAATGCTGTAAATATGTTAAAGTCCATTGCCAAGCATCACGTGCTATTATTTCTGCTGATGAGTGGTTTGTGAGCAGGCTGACAGTTGCTGGCCATCGATTTTGGTTCTGTAGTCAAAAAGATCTTCCACTTACATACCTGATTCAAAATGTGGAGTATGTCCCAAAGCAGAGCCATTCCAGCAGTCATGCTCTGCTGTTTGTCAGATGTTGCCTTGGAGGGAAGGTTAGGCCCAGGTGAATTAGTATGACTTTAGGCAACAGCTCTAACCTTCTAATCTTGCACAGCGCCTGACCAGACTTCTTACTGCTAAGCAAGGAGGATTTTTAAAAAATGATGAGTGGAAATTAGTCATGCAAATGTTGCTAGAGTTATGGCATTACAGTTAAAGAACCTTTGTTGTGCACTACTTGAGACTGTCTTTGAATTTAAGAAGAATCTTTGGCAATATCTTCTGACCTGGTTTCTAATGATTCAAAATTGAAAAAGATTGTACTAGCACATGTAGTATTTTTGTGCCATGATCCATTGGGGGTTATTGACTGGATTTTTTTTTTTTTTTTTTTTGGGGTTTTTTTTTTTTTTTGGGGTTTTTTTTTTTTTTTGGGGTTTTTTTTTTTTTTTGGGGTTTTTTTTTTTTTTTGGGGTTTTTTTTTTTTTTTGGGGTTTTTTTTTTTTTTTTTTTTAGTGGCTTGTCAGCTAGCAAATGAGTATTTCTAAACGGTACCTCAATAGGCCAGTGCAGCAGGAACTATTAGAGCTGTGTAGATAGCACAGTGGTGCCCTTTCCAGAAGACATGAAGTTCTGCCTTTCATTTTCTTCCTGTTCATTGTTAGATAAGTAGTCTCATCCTATTCTATGAATATGTAAGGACAAGCTAGATAACAGAGCTGTTACTGTTATACTCTTCCTGCATCACTGCTGGAGCCACATCCCTTATCTTCAGCTGTTGTGTTGTACCCAAGTGCTGCCAGGATTTTGTCCTCAGGTTTCAGAGTCCTATGCCAGCACAAGCCTTTTGGAAGGAGGGGGTGTTTCATTTTGGGATTTGAGGCAGAAATGTGAGATGAGTTGTTTTTTTAATTGCTTCATGGAAATAACTACTTCACTCCTTCTTTGTTAGGTATAAACACTACATTCGCTTTTTAAAATGTATCTCTAGCATTCTAACCAGCAAAGTTTCATCTGTGAAGGCAAAAAATCTACCATGTCCACTGGGAAGAAAAGATGGAATGAGAGGGATTTATCATCCT